AGCAATGTTGGTGAAGTTTACCTTGCAAAAGACAAAACCCCCCTAGTGCCTGGGGACTGCAGCAGCTGAGGCAGAATGGGGCACTTCATTGAATCAGGGCCAGGCTGCATAGCCTGTGCAAGAGCCAGGTCCAAACTGCTTAGGGTGTTCAGATGTGCAACATTAATATCCTATTCATGCTCTGCTTTGGTTACTGATTGCATCTATTTTTACTCTGACACCAGCAGACTTCCTTAATTTTTTTCTTCTTAAATAAACTGTGCCACCTTCCCATCCTCTGCTGCCTCCCCTGGGTCCCCATGCCAGTTGCTACTCTGCCACATAAAGCCCATTCCTGGCACAGAGAGGCCACATCCCTGCTGAGATCCACCACAGGGGCCGCTTCTACATGTTGCTTGCAATAAATTAAAACACATTAGATGGTCCCATTCTAACTTCTTGGCCATAAATACTGAAAAAACCCCAAATGACCACATTGAGGGGGAGTGGAGCAAAATTCCTAGGAGTATCAGAAACACGGATTAGTAAACCTCCCAAAGGCCAGGAGGAAAGAAATGCTTTGTACAATTAGTCGGAGCGTATCCCCTAAAGCTTCCTCAGCTGGAGTCCTTTCTACTACCAGCAGTTTGACACACTTGTTTCATTTAAAAACATAGAGAATGCGTTTAGGACTGTGTTTTAGAAAATAGTCCATAACTTTGCAGTTTACATAAAACAGTTTATGGCCTCAGTCTGCCAAGGGGCAGGGGCTTTGTACAAGGGGTTGAAAATGAAAACATCTGGTTGTGCTCGGTCTGACCTGCAATCCTTTTCACATGCAAAGCTTGAGGCCTTGGGGAGAGGAAGGCCAGAAAAAAACCCAGGGTATGTGCCCAGGGCTGGAGAGATGTGGGTCAAATCCCTGTTCTGCCTTCTCATCTCCCCCTTGGTGTGACTGACGCAGAAGCGTTTCCCTTTCTCACAATGATATTCTGAGGACAGACTAAAAAATTGAGGTGTTCAGCTGCTGCTTTGTATTATTAAGATAGCTCCTTCTGATTATATGTCTAGATTTCATCTTTAAATGCTGCATGAGTAAAAAAAAAACAACTCATAAAAGCTGTGTTTCTGTGAGGTACAGTCTGGCTAATGTATGGTTCTGAGCAACGTTGCTGTGGTTCTCTGATGGTCTCCGAAGAGCCCTTACATATATAAAAGTATTTGCTTCGGAGCAAGTGCAGAATTACCCCATAAATATGGGGGCCAGTGCTGTCAGAGCTAAGAGCTTGGGCAAGCAGTGAGTGTAGACCATCCATGCCACGCAGGGATATTTGCGTAAGCTTTGGCGGTAGCTACAGCCATCCGAAACACCGATAAGCCAGAACAAAACATTTTGTCTGTGTAATCATCCACATCCTGACCTCCTTGCATCTCTGCTGCCTTCCTAGTGCTTTACTGCAGCTGTGTCTTGCAGAAAGCCACTTTCTGCAGCAGAGAATAAGGTTGCAGAGTTACTTATGGGTGGATCCTCACATATCCATTGGTGTTTCTCTGTGAAGCTACCCTGAATAACCTCAGTGTTCAGTATATTTTCCTAAAATTGCGGAGGATGATGCATCTAGTGCTGTCTTTCACCTCTGATTCTTATCACCACCCAGTTGGTGAGCTGGTTAAAAGAGGCTTAAAGCAGTGACATACGTACTTTTTTTTTTTTTCACATATCCCAAACATGCTGCAAAAAGTAATTTTTGTGAAGGTCAGACCTGGGATTGGTGTCTTCACATTTTGAGCCAAATGGATATAAATTTGGCACTATGTTGACCCACCATGCTGATTGTACCGAAAGTGGAGGGAGTTGCTGCCAGCACAGAAGTCACTGCAAGAACATGGAAAGGTCAAACTGACTCTGGCAGCTTGTAAATCTGGAAAGCCTTTCTGCCTTTAACCTTAGAAAAGTCATGAAGCTTTAGTCTCCTCTTTTTTAAAAAGGAAAAACCTGTCCTCCTTGAGCCCGAAATGTGTTCCTCTCAGGAATACACTGGGTGCGACGAGCACTGCATGAGCGGGGGCTGCGGGTCCCCCAAAACTGCGGGACAGGCCTGGGTGCACAGGATTACAAGCATGGGAGCTGCAAGAAGGCACAGCCCTGCTACGACAGAGAGATGCTGAGTGGAGCTGTGCTCGCAGGAATTTCATTTTGGAAGACTTTTGGTTCAGACTTAAAGGCAAACCAACAAAAAGCTTTCCGCTTCTCAGCCAGGAAGACAGGTTTGTGAGGAAGCCTGTGAAACTCGGTAACTGGATGGACACGGCCCATCCTCAAAGACTTGAAGAAATGGTTGATCTGCAGGAAGGAAAATCAGACATGAGGGAAAAAATGCTGACAGAGTTGGGATTGGGACAGTGAAGCCATTGGAACAGATTATGGGATTGGTTCTCAAATCCCCTTTGCTGGAAGGTTTTAAAAATGGAAGAGGGGATTAGTGGGTGTGAAGGGAACTGATGGTACTTTGGTGTGGGAACAACGCCCGAGGAGCCTCCCAGCCACACATTTGTGTGGTACCATTGCTGAAAGGCGATGCTGGCAGGGGTGCAGCAGAGGGTAAGGAATTCAGAGGAGAGGGAAGATGAGAAAGAGCAGGATGGCAGCCGGCAGGGTCCATGCCCTGCCCCATCCCTTGTCCCTTGCTGGTGTGACCGGTTTTGCAGACACAGAGGAATCTCAGCTATGGGACACACAGCCCCGGGGACATGTCTGTCCCTTGTCCTGCAGAAGCACAGTGCTTACGGCTCCTATTGATTCCCCTTTTTCTGTCTTAAAGGTAGAGCTTGTTATTACCCTTGATCAAAGTTTCCGAGTTGCTGATCCAGAGTCATCGTAAACCACACAAAGTTTGGTATTAGCGTGGGACCAACTCACAGACTAAATAGGATTTTGATGAACTGACCTTCACACACAACAGTGGACTGTTATTTTGTGATCTACATTTAGATTTTTTTTCCACATAAAACAAATGGCTACACATACCCTGTTTCACAAATTGCAATAAACATTTTGAAACAGTCTATAAATATAATTCGTTCTTGTCTCGTAAATGTCTCTGAACTCCACCCTTCACAATGAGAGTGGTTTCCCTAGTAACTAATATATTCCAAGTCTTTTAAAAAAAGAGGGAATCTAAAAAGATGAAAACAAGAAAAAAAAAAAAAAGACGAATGATAAGACCGAACCTGTTTGATGGACACAAGATATACCACAATCTGAGGTACTGTGAAGTTTTTATTGCCACTTGTTTTGTAATATTGTCCTCCCAGACTCATCCCAATAAAAGGTCTATTTTGCCTCGGACTGCTGGGGCACGGCTTGCTCCGCAGGCAGGGTACAGTTAGGACTGCCAGTTGGGCAGCCCAAGGAGCCAAGGTTCTCCACCTTCATGGTGGTTAAAGGAACCAGCCATGAAATGTGGCTCCAGACATGACACCCCTCAGCTCTTCCTTGTGGAGGTGACAGCAGGGATGTGTGTCAGTGCCTCCCTCTGTGGGGTGAGGGCCGGCGGCCCCTGAAACCCAGCCCAGGGAGCAGCAGAGGCTGGGCATGCAGGGAAGCCACGCAGATGTAAATTATGGGAAAAGATAAAGGAATCTTTGCCAAAGGTCTCTGAGCTGGCCACTAAATTCAGGCAAGAAAATTCATATCTGGCACCCTACTTTTTTAAACAAACTTAGGGAACTGCTGAAATATAGCTTATGGTAGTGGTCAGAAAAGGGGGTGATGTATGGAAATGATGCTGAAGGATTCGTTACAGTCTGCAGTGAAAGAAATGAAAAGTAGCTGGAAAAAGCAGCAAGGCACCTTGAATATACACGTGTGAAACTCGGTTCAGCCCTGCAGAGAAGGACTTAGGGGTACTGGTGGACGAAAAGCTGGACATGAGCCGGCAATGTGTGCTGGCAGCCCAGAAGGCCAACTGTGCCCTGGGCTGCATCAAAAGCAGCATGGCCAGCAGATCGAGGGAGGTGATTCTGCCCCTCTGCTCTGGTGAGACCTCACCTGGAGCACTGTGTCCAGCTCTGGAGTCCCCAACATAAGAAGGACATGGTCCTGTTGGAGTGGGTCCAGAGGAGGGCTACTAAAATAATCTGAGGGCTGGAGCACCTCTCTTACGAGGACAGGCTGAGAGAGTTGGGCTTGTTCAGCCTGGAGAAGAGAAGGCTGCGGGGAGACCTGATTGCGGCCTTTCAATATATGAATATAAGCCAGCCAGACAGAGACTTTTTAGCAGGGCCTGTAGTGATAGGACAAGGGCCAACTGTTTTAAACTGGAAGAGGGTAGATTTAAATTGCTTAAGGATGAAATTTTTTCATGAGGGTGGTGAGACACTGGAACTGGTTGCCCAGAGAAGCTGTGGATGCCCCATCCCTGGAGTGTTCAATGTCAGGTTGAAAGGGGCTTTGAGCAACCAGATCTCATGAAGGATGACCCTGCCCATGGCTGGGGGGGTTGGGCTAGATGATTTTTGAAGGTCCCCTCCAACCCAAACTGTTCTGTGATGATTCTATAAAATACATTTGCAGGGCTGGTGCAGTGGAAGGACTTAGATCACTGCCCAAAGAAGCTGGAAGAGTTCAGAGGGCCACACATGACAGTTGTGGTCCTTGAGGTCATCTGTATGCACCTTCCACAGTCACACACGCTTGAACAAATTGAGTATTAAGGGAGATTGCAATGCTACCAAACCAGAATGGCAGCGAGGCAGCCTGTAAGAAGAGCTGATACCTTTTATTAGATTGATGAAATAGTGGGGGAAAATATGACAGTCAAAAGAAAAAAAAGAACAAAGACAAATCTTCAAGTATCAAAGCCCCTCCTGAGGGCTGCAAGAGCAGCTGAAGGGGTAACAAAGCCCCTCCTGAGGGCTGCAAGAGGAGCTGAAGAGAGAATTGGCGTGGTAGCACTTCCACATCCGTGTTGCAGCAGGCCCATTGCCAGAGGAGGAGGAGAGAGGACGTTTAAACCTGGTCACCGTAATGGGTACAGGTTAAAAAACATGTCATCGTTGCAGTAGCTGAGACCCATATGGCGCCCTCCTTCGCCCCCGTCTCCTTGGCTCCCCCTCAGAGCCGCTGAGAGCTGGTGGTGGTGCTGACCCCCTCCCCGAGGCACAGGGTAGGGCGGCGGCGGCAGGCAGCTGCTGCTGTAGCCCAGCAGAGATTTCTCCTCACAGGATTCATCCCCCAAAGGGCCAGCGTTAGGCCTGAAGGGGTCATGGCCGCCCTCTGTCACGGGCAGGACGAGCTGGGTGCCGGGGTGGGCACACTGCTGGGGGTCAGGGGCTGCACAGGGCGGGTTGGCCACGGGGACAGCAGGGCCATGGCATGGCCTCCCGGTGCTGGGGGTCTTCCCGAGGGCCAGGCTCCTGCTCCATGTCGGCACCTCTCCGGAGTCGCCATCCTCCCCAGCTGCCCTTGGGTATGGCGGTTGCCCAGAGGAGCTGCCCAGCATTGGCTCCCGGGAGCTTTTGCTTAAACGTCCCCCAAAATTGGCAGAGAGCAAGTAAGCGTCCGGCTTGGAAAGAAGCAAAGGCAAAGCCTCCCGCGTCGGCATTGCACCTGTCAGAGACTTGGGAAAGCAAGGCGTGGTTTAGTAAAAAAAATTGTCAGTCTTAGCAGCATGAAATAAAACCCATCCTGCATGAGACCCTCACGAATGCCATCAGTTAATACTGGCAACAAAGCAGACGCCAGAGCGGAGCCTTCTTGCAGAGTAGCGCCAGTGGTTTTTAGGGGGCAAACCAAACAGGGCTCCCAGATCATGGATCTGGGTTTGTTTCACCATTTTTTTGCCCAAAGCCTGTTTTACACTGAAAGAATTGTTAGGCCTCGCATTCACAGCCCTCAGGGTCCGCTGCCAGCGTGTACTGAAGAAGCACCTGAAAATGAAATTATGCTAACACGTTTGACGCTGCAGAATTTTTTTTTTTCTATGGAGTCTGGAAAAGTAAGCATGATTGTTTTAAACTGATTGTTTTGAAGTGGTCTTTTCTCTACAAAAACGTTATGCTTCAGATTTTCAGGACTATTTCTAACTGCCAAATTGTCCTATCTTTACATTTTTTTACCCGACAAACAGAAATTTAATTTAGGCAGGGAGCAGCACAGAAGAATGATTCTTCTGGGTTTTTTGTTCTGGATATTTCACAACTTCCTTAATTGCCCTAATTGTTGGATTATAATTTTGCAAACTTTAATTCCTTTCCAAACACTCATTCTCTGCTATCATTTCTGATGAGTACTTACAGGTCTCTCTTCTTTGTAATTTTGCTTTTGCATCCATTTAATTATAGTGATTTTGTGGACTGCCTGAGTAGCAAAGCTCCTTTCAGCTGTTCTCCACTCACCAAGAGAATAAATTCCAACAACCTGATGTAGGACCCAGCCCAACTTCAGCTAAGGACCTGCTGACGCCATGGAGAAAACATCCTATGTACTACTTGCTCTATTTTGGGCTCATACCTTTTTCTAAAGTTCTCCTCCCTGGTCTCTCATGAGCACATTAAAATTGAATCTTTTCAGAAGACTTTTTGCAGATGCAGGGACACAGGTTCCATGTGTCAAATGAGACTCCTCAGTTAGTTTTGTCACAGCCAGTCTTGGCAGAATGCAAATATGATGGATTATTCCCAAGAAAAACCTGCTGGAAACCCATAAACTGGAAAGCTAGCTGAGGGTAAATGGTATTACTCCAACCAGCTAAGAGCAGGCTCTACAATTAGATATTTATGTCATCTTCGGGCTGTTCCTACTCCCACACAATTCAAAGTGAAAACACCAGGAAGATGTAGGAAGGGAAAGATGAAGACATGTCTAACAGGGAACTTGACCTTCATAAGACCGGTAGGCTGAGGTTTAAAAGAAAAAAAGCCACGTGGCTTGGTAACATTTCCTAGGTGAGGACTATTTTAGTGTTCATGGGGACAGAGTTAAACCAGTGATATAAAAATGATTGTTTCTGTATTTGTTAGAGATTTACACAGTGGCTCAGCTGCTTTTTCTTATGCTTGTTTCCCAGGCGCTTGTGTCAAAGAGGCCAGCACCAGTCCGTCTAGTACTCTTTGGCTGCCCCATCCCAAGCGAGTGTGTCTCCATGAGAGTCACTCCTGAGCTCTGGTTTTTAGTGTCCTCCTGAGTATTTCCAGTAGAAACAGCTGCAGCTCCTAAATTTATTTTCCATTCAAATGGGTTTAACTTCCTCTATTCACTCTCTTAATCTACTTCTTGGGCTCCTGAATCCCCCTGCTTCCCCATGTCGTCCATTTAAGAAGTCTGTCCCCACCCAGCCCAATTATCCCTTTTGCCTGTAATTGAAGGGGCATTGGCTACTACCCCAAACACCAGGCTGGGGAGGATGCACTACCTCTAGCACATCGAAAGACAAACTGCACATGAAGACCAGTGATGTAACACAGCATTTGCAAGGAGGGTCACTGGGGACAGCCTCACTGCTCTGCCCTGTTCCCCCCATCAGGCACGCAGCAGTCCACGGGATCTCTGTAGATGCTTTCACAAGTGTTTCCACACCCAGAAGAGCTGATGTTTTAACATCAGTGCTTCTGTAAGTCCTTCAGAGCACTCTTCTGCCTTCAAAGCCCTCCTGGATATCCGGGGAGCAAGCGGGGCACACCAGGCAGAGGTGACGCACCTTTGCCTTATCAACCCTGGCAAAACTCAGCGGGGACGAGCAAAGGTGCAGGGAACCTTTGCTTTTCTGAGGCACATCCTCCATGTCAGTGGAGTACCTTGGGACACATGTCAATGTGGAGAAAACAAGACCTCCCGCTGTCTCTCCAAGGGTGGGACAGTGCCACCTGCACCTGAGGGTGCCCTCACAGTTCTTGAGGGTCTGCAGGTGGCCAAATCCTGCTCAGGGGCAGCTGCCCTCCAGGAGAGCATCTCTCTCCGTGATGAGCATTAAGTCTGTGAATAAAACAATCCAGGCCTGCTACTGAAGTAACTGGGTTTTCTTAAGTAAAGGTTGGGGGACTGGAGGAAGAAGGAGTAAGGATTTCTGGATTTGCCTTGTTAATGACAAATTTGTTTTGTTAAGATACCATACACAGTATATAATAGGCATATCATATAGGTGATGTTATATAGAATCATAGAATTGTTTAGACTGGAAAAGACCTTTAAGATCATCAAGTCCAACCATTAACCTAACACTGCCATATATTGTATTCTATAGTAAAATAGTATCCTCTGTGTGTGTGTGTGTGTACCTGTACACCCATACACAAATCTTCCTCCAGAGTTCAGTCATTGCCAAAAATATTTCCCAGTTTTCAAGTGTTCATTTGTTGCAATTTTCTCATGGGGTGGTGCAATCAATATTATAAGTTAAAGCCAGTTAAAACCTACTAGTATTCTCCTTCAGTGTCAATACTGATTAGACTAAATACCTAGTTACTTTATTCCCAGATTTCTTCGTAAATAGTTTAATTTCTGGAGCAGCACTAGCAAAGAACTTGTAGGAACTTTTTCTAAAGACAACTCTTGAATTTAAAAGAGCTGAGGCTCTAAAGCTATGTCCATGCTGCTGAACAAAATGAGACCAAGGACTGTTGTTGGTAACACGGACCAAGGGCATGGCCTGGCAGTGTCCACGCTACATCCTGGCCTTGGGCGACCTCTGGACCTGAAGTGAAATGATGCAAGGGCTGTGTTGCAGCCCACCAAGGGCTATTTTTCACAGCATCATCTTGAGATTCTTATTGCCTGCGGCTTGCAGCATGACAGCACGTAGGGGCACAGGTAAGTTCAAAGCAAGCTGTGTATAGAGAAGGGACCCAAACCTAATGCAACATTGTCCAAAATCCTGCCAAGCTCCCTGGCACATGCTGTCGTCCTGACCTGTGCCTGGGCATTTTGTCTGTGAGCAAGAGTTAGCACCGGCCAAATCCATGGCAGGGACCATGTGAATAGTGACACGGCTGAGCCTGCCCTCCAGCCCTGCTTTGTTTACCAGTAGATACGTAACCCCCGGCTGCCACCAGGCCCAAAGAGGCTCTGGACTGGGGGTGCTGGCAGTGGGTGACAGTGCTGAGCAGAGCAGGATGCTCAGGACAGCCCTGCTCCTTCTTGGCCTGATCACGGGGAGGCAGAATGCAGAGATGTAAAGCCTGCTTCTACCCAGACTCAAAGCTCCACCATGCCTGGGACCATGGATCACCAACCCCCACAATTTCCTTGACTGATAGTTAAGAGTTACCTTGATCTCATGGATTCTTTTTAATTTTGGAGAAGAAGGAGAAAAGGCTGTCTGTGATTTTTGGATTGATCTTCTTGCTTCTGCTTCTAGTTTTGTTTCTGGACGTGGATGGTCATGAGCTCCTTTGGACTTTAGAAAGGAATTATGATATGTTAAAGTTAGAAACAACCTTGTTATTAATCTTAAGGGAGCAGAATTTGTAGCACAGGCCAAAACCACACATATGGCCTGCTTTAATGCTTAGTATTTAATAAGACTAATTTAATGTGAGCTCAGGTAACAAACATATCTCAGGTGAAGTGTGATGGAGTAGAAATTCCCTGAAATCATAAAACCAGTGCACCACATTTATGTGCAGAAGAGACTCCCCACACTAGAGCCTCAGTTGAAGCCACAAGGTTTTCTGCAGCCTGGCTACAGTGTTCCTGCAATCATTTCCATTCTTCTCATACTTCAGACGTGTTTATCAGAACAGTAATTGCCATTCGCTTCCACTGAGAATTAATTTTTTTTAACCCATACATAAGTGAAAGACTGGAAAACAGGAGACAGTTCAGTGGTTATGGTACTGAACTAGGACTACAACTTCCAGAAATGCCCATTATTTGAACACTTGCATACACTGTTTTCCAGATATACATATAATGCAGAGATGGCATTTTTCATAGACGGTCCCTTGGGTACAACCATTTCCTGCTCTAAGATAGCCCCATGCTTATGCGATAACATGGCATTTCTGATTTTTTGAGGATTTGTTGGTTCCTATGTACCTGAGGCAAAGTGCTTCAAAATCAAGAAGTTTTCATGGGACCCTAAATGAAAAATATAATATTCTGTAAAATCATAGTAGCATAGGCTAATTTAGGTTGGAAGGGACCTCTGGAGGTCTAGCTCAGGCAGGACTAACTTCAGAGTTAGATCAGGTTGCTTAGGACCTTGCCTACTCATTGTGAAAATTTTTCTCCTTACGGTCATTTGACCTTGTCATATTCAATGACCCTTATTTGTTGGAACAAAAAATGTCCTTAATCAATCTTAAAAAACAGTCTTTAAAATTAACTTGCATAATGTAAGGCAATTTTTATACCAACCTGAAAAAATATGAATTGGCCTTCATGCCTCCAGAAGTTGGTAACTGGGTAACCACCATGGCCTCGGCAGGAAAGGAGCCGCAGGGGTCCATTGCAGTTTGGACAGCATTTCCCTGGAGCAAAGATGGTGGTAAATATTTTCTATGCAACACCGATCAGATGAATCCCATGTGGTGCACTGGTGGTGGATTTGGGCTCAGAAACTATGCTGAGAAAAACTATGCAAAAAACTTTCAAACATAAGCAAAAATCAATATAAGCAAACTAATAATTGCCTTTATTCTGTTCCATTATTAAATATAACTGGCAAAAATTATTTCTCTTATAGATTTATCATCATTTTATCCTTTACTAACATGGTCAGTTTTACTTGTTTTTAACTTGGCAGTGTCTGGAATGTCAATGTGCTCTTGTCTGATTTTTCTGGAAGACATTATTCTGACCTCAGTGAGTGCTTGACTAATACCTTTCTTTAGCCACAATGTTCATCAGATCCAGAAATCAGTATGTGCTAGCCCTACTGAGCAATCAACGTTTTCTTAGAATGGTCTCATTAAAAATATGCGTGCAGGTCATGTTCTCTATTTCACAGACTCACAGAATGGCAAGGGTTGGAAGGGACCTTGGGAGATCATCCAGTCCAACCCCCCTGCTAAAGCAGGTTCACCCAGAGCAGGTTGCACAGGACATTGTCCAGGCGGGTTTTGAATATCTCCAGAGAAAGAGATTCCACAATGCCCCTGGGCACCCTGTTCCAGTGCTCTGTCACCCTCAAAGTAAAGAAGTTCTTCCTCGCGTTCAACTGGAACCTCTTATGTTTCAGTTTGTGCCCATTGCCCCTTGTCCTGTCGCTGGGCACCACTGAGAAGCATTGTCTTGCTCTGATGACATGACTGTGAGGCCTGTTTTCCAGTCATCATAGTTCAAGAGTAACTTCTTCCCTGCAAGACTTGCCTTCTGAGTTACTCTTGGGCCCAGGCAATAATGAAGCCAACACTCAGGTCGGCAGGAACAACACAGCTTTCTCAGTAGCCTCACTCATGGGCCTGAGAAGGCTGGGAATCAATCTCAAAACATCAGAAATAGAGATTAAAAAAAAAAAAAAGAAAACAAAACCAAACAAGCAAACAACTCCTTCCCCAACAGTAAGAAATATAAAATGCATTGTTCCAAAATCCAGATTTGCATTTGAATATAAGGAATGTCAGCGGGAAGGTTAGGTAATCCAAAGGGTATCCTCTACTTTGAGTTCTTTGATGTTGTGTCCACTCATGAAGTGCTGTATAATGAACAGCCATGTTCATACTCACGCTGTTGTTTTTGTCTAGCTTTATCACAGATGGCTGGTCTTAGGTAGATCTTCCTCCCATCCAAGGTCGAGCAATTGTTGCCGCAGATCACCACCCCGAGGCAGGACTTTTTTAAGATGCGAGAGTTGTGGTTGTTGGTGTTTCTCATTGCCCAGCTGCTGTGGTGCCTCTGAGCGTTTTTATCCTCTGAGCTATAGATATGTTTTACGTAGGAATCTGGCCATTCTTGAAACCAGTCTATCTGTCTTACGTCCTGGTGAGAAACCAAAGCAAGCCATGTTTTAGGTGGGGGAAGAGAAGAGATTATGCAGGAGCCCAGCAGACCTGGTCCTCTGTTGGGTGTCCTCCAGCCTGGGTGACTCCAGCACCACAGCAGGTGATGCTGGTGGGCAGGACAGAGCAGTGGAGAGAAGGCAGAAAAACCACAGCACCCTGTGGATCCCCACGGGCCCCAAAGCATCAGGAAAACGTGGCCAGGAGGTTGTTCTCACCAACCCATGGGCCCAGCTCAGTGCAAGGCTCCCTGGAAGAGGAAGGTGGAGCACATGATGTAAGATTGCAGATGTTTTCCTTGCAGGCAGCAGTCACTGCCTGACTAACTTCTGTTAGCTTTCATGCCAAAGGTCCTGCTTTGCCTTTCAGACTATTCACAGCAGTGTTACGCTGAATCATTTGCCTTAATTTGGCTCAGCTTGCTAGGAAAAGGGCAAATACTGAATCAGATTGAGACTATGGCCATATTTGTAGGTCTTTAGTTCTGGACTTTGGTTCATTTTGGCTTAAGTGCCATGAAAGACTTCCATGGTGATTTTTCTGAAGTCCAAACCAAATAAAATCTTGGGCAGGGTTGTTTTTTTTTTCCACTGCTATGGACTAAGCAAAAAAAGCCACAAAGACAACACTGTAAGGAACAATAAAAATAAAACTCAGGGAAAGAAAAGACAAATGATCAACCGCACATCACCTCAATGGGTACAGTTAACACAGTAAAATGCAGTAAGCTGTAAAGCACCTAACATACCTGCTGATGGTTTTGAGGGAAAAGATCATTGTAGGGGTACAAAAACTTAGGAATTTCCTTGCAATTGCTGATACCAACCACCAAGAGCCACTACATCAGCAAAAACATCAACTGAGAAGAGAAAAACTCTTCTGCTCCCCCAGGAGTCATCAGATGGGATAGGGAAGGGTGTGGAGGAAGCCTCCAGGCTGAAACGCAGGTGAAGGTGACCTTGGGGTGGAGGGCAGGAAAGGAGGCAGCCTGGGACATGGAGGCTTTGGGCGAATGGCCATGACATAGTAGGGAAGAGACTGGGATCAGGTAAGAACACAGGGTTGGGAGGTGAAAGGCAGAGCTGGATGGTGAAGGACCCCAGCAGGAGGAACCTGGCACAAATACGCTATGGTCAGGGACAAGGAGATGGCATTGGGGTGTGGGGTGCTGTGGGCTTTCAGCAGAGACCATGGATGAGATTTTTAGGTAAGAGGACTAGAAAAGGGCTGAGGGAGGGAAAGATCGCTATTCTGCCCCTCAGCAAGCCTCTGTCCACATGAAGCAAGCTTTTCCTTGGTGCTCACAACAGGAGCATTGCGTCCATGTGGAAAGCCAGCCCGCTCGCCTGGAGCCCAATCTGCAGTGTTGCAAAGCAGTCGTGGGTGCTGTGCTCATTTCTCATAAAGAACTACCCAGGGCAAAAAGCAAGTCCTGGGCATCTCTAATTCAGCAGCCACAGCAGGAGACTTTTTTTCCCCCTGCTTTCTCTGCATCTTATCCACCAGCGAACTAGAAAGGCAATACATCTGCAGTATCACTATTTTTCATCTACTAGCAGCTCTTTCAATAATGCGTTTAAGGAAAAATGCCTGGTGACGTCAATATTTTGCTCAATATTTTCTAGCTTTTCAGGAAAACACTGTCCCATACCTCAAGGTGGAAAAGAGAATAAAGGCAATGAGGCATAGATGACTGAGAGAGCATTTAAGATCAGCGGTGGAGAAGATTGGTCAGAACTGGATAAATTTCTAAAACAAAGGCACATACCTGGGGAAGTTTGATGTCATTGATATCCCAACTCGTCATTTCTCCATGTCGGGAAGAGGAGTCTTCCTGCTCCATAACATCATCCGCACCTTTCAGCATTTTTTAATTCCTTCCCAAAGTTAGCAAGAAAGTTTCTCCTGGCTGCTTTTGAAGTTGACTGGCTGTCAGCACTCTCAAGCAGTTTACAACCAGGAAGCTGTTTCCTGAAGCTAAATGATAGAGAGGCTGCTCATTAAAGATAAAAATCAGTGTTCTTCTGCCAGAAAAACTTGTTCCATTAAAAGTTTTGCAAGCCAGCAATGCAGTGGAAAATACAGCTTAGAGACAGCCTGCGATGTTACAGAGGCATCTCTAACAGCAAGCAAACCATGCCTTTATCATCTGTTTTGTTTTGCTCGGTCTCCTCTGAGACCAAGTTTATTGTCATGTAACTCTGCTCGCAGGCTCTTTGTATATCTGATCCGACTCTGGCTCAATATTTCCAGAGCCAAACTGATTGAGCAGCTCGGTGGCTGCTGCAGGCTGAGTCGCTGCTTACCCGTTAGATATTTCACACGCTGCATGTGACAAAGGTGAGCAACAAGAAGGGGTGGCTACATCATTTCAGATGAAATGGCACTCAGCCGTTTCATGTACTGTTGGCATCTCCATGACCGTACCAATTGCACGAGGGAAGCGTAGAAAGGGAGGTTGGGTTACCTGCATTTTCCTATCTCAACAGCAGACTGAAGTAAAAAAACGCACCAAGTTATGTTTGTTAAAATCAACAGTTTTTGCCCGAAATCTTGTAAAGCAGGCAGTTGCCCTACTCTGAATTTCAGTGCCAGCCAAGCTTCATACCATATCCTCAGGGAGCCCATGCATGAAAAAGTTTTGGGGTTTGTTTCCTTTGGCAAAGAGAGAAAAGGCAAATGAGAAAATGAATGGGCCAGTTTTCTCTTTCTGGAAACTGGGAAAGCTTCAATGGTTTCAGGAAGGCCACTGTAATTTATGCCAATGAAGGATTTGCTAAAGACTACTGGGTAGTGGAAGAAGTAAAATCTACTTGATGAGATTCTATTTCATAGACCTTATTGAGCATAATTTATTTTATTCTTATTTCTGACTCTGCATATGCATGGCCCTTGGAAAGTGACTTAGCCTTCATGTGCTTAATTTAACCTTCCCTTGCCCATCTCCCTTTCTTTAGAAGAACTTACTTATATTTCACCCTGACAAAATAATTCATGTTTAGAAGGGTAATGTTTAAAATATTTATTTCTCTTACAGAACTGCTGTCAATCAACTCATGGAAGTGACCAAGGGATCCATATGGGCAGTTCTACAAACGCAAGGTGTCAGACAAATAAGTGACCAGGCTGTTGGAACACAGAAAGACTGCAGTGAAAACCCTACAATAAACTGTGGTATTGCCAATTCACAGACCATCAGTGATTTTTCACCTAGGATACTGTGCAAAAAGACCAGTCCTTCCCAGAAAAAGGAAGGGCTCAGGGCATAGGAAATCCATAAAAGATGGGATTGTTCACTCTAGAAAAGAGACATATAAGCAAGGGCACTATAAAAATTACCTAAAATACAGAAGGGTGCAGAGGAAGCAGGCAGTGCTTCTTGTTATTTAATGACCCAAAAGCCCAGGGGCACAGAGTGAAAACAAGTGGCAAATTCAAAAGTGAGGCAAAGAAATGCATTTTTCATTCGCTATGTAATTAGTATCAGTTGGTCTAATGAAAGCTATTTCCCCTCCCTGCAAGTCTTGATCCACTTATTTCTTTAAACCCTTGTGGTATAACATTACTACTGGTATGGCTGTAGCATGTCAGGAAGGTTGAGCACTAGTCAAGACTGAAAAGGGATCAAAAACGTAAGAAATAAATAATATTTGAAGAAATGTTATTTAATACTTATATCTGTGTGACATCTGACATATGTTACAAAACATTTAGAAAGATATCCTCATATTTTATGATTTATGGCAATTTTTAACTAGCAAGGATTAGGAAGGTTTCTATATTCCTTAGAAGTACTTGGTGTTGACAACTATTAGGAAAAGGATTATGGATTTTTGAGAGATTTTGTGTTGCCAATTTACATGAGTCTACAGGTTAAATTAATTCAATATAATCTGCAAGCTCTTATTTGGAAGGGCAGCCTTTCAGACTGTAACTGCAGATGGATGTCAGGAGATCTTCAGCAGTCATTTGCAACAAGAGATCAAGGGCTGGAAAAAGCCCTGGAGCCCTTAAAATCTTGTGTTCAGGCTCATGGTCTGCAGAAATCTGTGCAACCCCGCAGAGCAGTGCCTGGGGAAAGCAGCTGCCTTGCTGCGGAGGTTGCCCGCCGCTGTCTGTGGTTCAGGTGCCAGGTCTGCCGAAGGATGGAAGCTGGGGGCAGGAACACCTGGACATAGGCTATTACAGAGCCAGGGTATTACAGAGGTCATGAGATCAGGCTCCTTTCTTGTACTGCTTAACTGCCATGCGAAGAAGGTGCTTTTGTCAGTGCTCCCATCAGTCTTCTTTCTTCTCTCTTTGGTGTCATCTTTCAGCGATGACAACCTTTAACTGACCTCATCAGATGCAGTCGGTGGCCCTTTACATGGGCTGAGTTACCTGTCCTGCCAACAGTGTGCATGTCGCTATCTTCCATGGCTGCCTTTGTGCCTTGCCTTCAAGTGTGTGATTTTCCCTGTGGGTACAGCTTGACACTGAAATGTTCTCCCCGCTGCTCTGATAGGAGCTCTCCTGCCTCTCTGCCACTGCAGGCATTGGCCTTCGCACGCCTCCCGTCCTTCTTCAGTCCCCCTTTTATTACTGCAGAGTTTCATGGTGCTGCACCACAGGTATGAAGGAAGATGCATAGTTGGATGACAACACAAAATTTTTTACGATGAGGGCGGTGAAATACTGGAGCAGAGATGCCCCATCCCTGGAAACATTCAAGACCAGGTTGGACGGGGCTCTGAGCAACCTGATTGAGTTGAAGATGTCCCTGCTCACTGCAGGGGGGTTGGCCTAGATGGCCTTTAAAGGTCCCTTCCAACCCAAACTATTTGATGATTCTATGATGCTGTGATTCTGTACCAAGGTGTTACTATTAATCCTTGTGGAATATTTCTCCAGATTGACTTGGAAATTTTTTTTCTTTTTTTCAAATAAGTTCTATAGACTTAAAAATAACTATTTTATCTTCCATTTCACCCTTGCTTTTTGATCAGCTGTGGCAGCAGGACAAAGTAATATGATTAAACTGCCAGACATGGAGCATAAACTCACTACAAATAGACATGTCATTTGTAATAAGAAGACAATTTCGGCCTGTGCAAAAGCGCACTGGGGATGCTGCTCATTTTTCGGAGACAAGTTTTTGCTCCCAGATGGCCCTGACATATTCTCAAGTTGGCAGCCTCTATAGGCAACATCATTTGAAATGCTTATGCTATCTTCACTCTTCAGTATCCAAAAGTGAAAGCTTCTCTCCTGCGGTCTGGCTCTTCGAAAGAAAGACGGGTGCATTTTGAAATGGAAGTATTTTGAAATCCTTTGCTGGTTTTGTTTGTCCTTTGTTTCTCTTTAATTCTTTACTTGAAACTGGTCTTGTTAATTCCCTTGATATCAGAACAGGCTGATGATGTCACATTTTTATTCAGTTACAATATTTCTGAATTCTGGACTGCTTTGGATAAGAAGTCAGTTGTAGGTAGTGTAGTAGTTCTAGCTTTTCTGCTTCAGTCACATTCATTTAACACTTTTGTTTTATTTTGTTTTATTTTATTTTATTTTATTTTATTTTATCTTTGTAGAAGTGCTGTCTGAAATGACATATTCTGCAGGCTTCTCTGACGGTCACATATAAAACAGACACATCTACAGCATAGATCATAAACCAGACAGATTAGCCCAGAATTCACCTCAGAGCTCAAACGTTGATGAATGCCTTGGACTATTTTTTGTCAGAGTACGAATATGTAGTTTGCATCATTCTTGCCCTCTTGGAGTTAGGTCACAGCTCGGTACAGACGCTTGGGGTGGCTTTGTCAGGCCACTTGGGAGGTACAGTGCATTTTCTCCCTGGATTGCACATACCAGAGATGCACACACAGACCATCGTACCGCCTTACTAAGTGGACATTAAAATCCTGCTGATGGGAATTTAACCGCTCTAACTCAACAGCTTGCAATCACCTCCGTTTTTCCTCTGTGTCAACTGAATGATACTTAAGGAAGTTGCAATATTCTCATTTCTCATTTTCTATTTACTCCCCTGGCTCTTTCCAGCAGACAGATGCGGTTGTGAGCATGATTTGCCAAAGGGTCTGCCACATGAACTTCATGTCCACACACTTGTATCCCATATAGTAAATATCCCTGCCAGGCCTCTCAGTCCCTCTTCTTGAGGAAACCGGTATTTGTCCACTTGTGGGTTAGCTCCCAGGCAGCATTCTTGGCTGATAGCCTAGTAGTTGTATGACTTACTATTGAATAGGATACTATGAATAACTTATTAAGACTTTTTTTTTGTCCCCATGGCAGTGTTTTAGCACTGAATGCTAGGAATATCTCTTTCTCTGCCACATGAAGAATATAGCTCCAGTTGAAAAGTTTGGGGCCTGAGCTCTTTTTAATCATCTGTTTGGGGTCCTTGAGTGTAGGCAAATAGATGTCTCACTTTATTTCTCAGTAGCTCTGTCAGAGCTATGAACTCTAATGCTTTGGCAGTGAGGTCTAGCTTTCTATTCACTTTATTGATCTCTCTGATTTTTTCTCTTAACATATCAGACACACTGCAAAGCATGTGATGTTCTAGACATCCTATTTACTTCCTGGGGTAAAATTCATGGCAGCCCATCCACAAATGTAAAACCATCATGGTAATATCATAACAGCATTAATATTGGGATGCTGTGGTGAACACAGGTCTGGGTAATATTTTGCTTTAAATTCTGCATCTTGCTGACTGTATAAACTATCTTTCCTGTTTGGTGTTTTTTTTTTCCCTAAGACCATGAATTCACATGCTTTAGTTGAAATCACTGGCTTCTATGGATTGCCTAAAATTCTAGTTGGAATGCTTTTTGTGGGCCTTATGCTTAAAAATTA